TTTTTTTCTTTTCTTTAAGAGTAAATTTTTTTATAACCTTTTTTAAATTAATTTCTAACACATTTTTTTAATCAAATTCTAATACCTTTTTTTAAAATAAAAATCTAACTTCTTTTTAAAGCTAAATCTTTTTTTCTAACTTTTTAAAATTAAATCTTTTTTTCTAACTTTTTTAAAGTTAAATCTTTTTTTTCTAACTTTTTTAAAGTTAAATATTTTTTTCTAACTTCTTTTTAAAGTTAAATCTTTTTTCTAACTTTTATAAAGTTAAATCTTTTTTTCTAACTTTTTTAAAAAAAATTAAATCTTTTTTTCTCTAACTTCCTTTTAAAATTAAATCTTTTTTTTCTCTAACTTCTTTTTAAAATTAAATATTTTTTTCTAACTATTTTAAAAAATTAAATCTAACCTTTTTTTTATAAATTAAATCTATCCTTTTTTTTAAAATTAAGATCTAAATTCCTTTTAAAATTAAATTCTAACAGTTTTTAAAATAATTCTAACATTTTTTAAAACCAACATTCAAATATTTTTTTATTTTAAAATTCTAACTCATTTTTTTTAAACTTAAAACTCTAATTTTTATTTAACTTGAAACTCTTATCTTCTTTGCTAACTTTTTAAATTTAAATCTCAACACTTTTTTTTATCAAATCCAATCACAATAAATCACAGATAGAGCAAAATCAAATCAATCAGATCATATCATCATCATAAGAAAATCAGATCTAAATATCAACATCACCATCATTGAATCAAATCTAAAATCATCATAAAAATTCACTCAAATCAAATCAGATATTGAAAAAGATTGAGATATTCAAATCAAATATGAGATTGAAAAAGATTTAAAAAAATCAAGTATAAAAGGACCCTCAGGAGCAACAAAACGGGAATCGGCAAGCATCAAAGACTCTTGCAGTCTTCATCAAAAGTAACTAACTCTTCTTTTCTTAAAAAATTTCTAATCTTATTTTTGTTTTTTCAAGAGTATTAACTTTTTTTTTTTGAATTAAAATCTAACCTTTTCTTTTTTATTTTCTAACCTTTTTTTTAAAAACCAAATTTCGAAGTTCTAATTTTTTGCTAACTTTTAATTCTAACTTTTAATCTATTTTCTTTTTCTTAATCACATTAAAAACTCTAACTTTTCTAAATTTCACCCAAAAAAACCTAATTTCCTTCTAACTCTTTTCTAATTACTTAAATTCTCACCGTCTCAAAACATTCATCACTTAAATTTTAATTATCGTCAATTCCAATTTTCATCCTTCATTCCTAACAGTATTCTTGATTATCCATGAATCTGTTCACTAATATTTATTTATTTATTTTTGTATTTATTTTTATATTTGTACATAATCTGACATCATCGTTGCTATTTCATATTCCATTATCACTTGTATATTATCACTATCTTCATTGCATATCAATTTTCATTATTTATTAATTTTTCGCTAACATCCTCATTTTTAAGATCCAAATTTCTAACTTTTTTTTTGTTTCGTTAAAATTATAATTTTCTACTTAAATTCCTAACATTCCCGTCAAATTTTTCGTCTAACCCCGTATAATAACAGTCTCTGTTTGTTTTGGTTTTTTGCAGCTGACTAAGTTCAATTGATTTTATTTTCAGTTTAAATATTCAATTATCATATTTGTAACTGCTTATGGGATGTAATTTTGCGAGACAATTGTCGCATTTATCTTTCCGCACTTTATTTTCTGTCGTTGTATGTATATTTAATGTCATCGCATCTTTATAGTTAATTTCACTCCTCCGAAGGAATTAGGTCTAGCTTTTGGTCGCCGCGCCAATAGTCCTCAAACTTCAAACCCTCAAAACTACAAATTACAAACCCTAATTTTCACAGATGCCTCGCCGCAGGCAAAATTACAATTTTACCCCTAGCATTAGGTCAAAGAGCCGCCGCGCTCATTTTAGGGTTTCCCGCCGCGGAATCCCTAATTTAACCTTAATTACAACTTAACAATTCAACGTAGAGATTTGGAGTTTCTACACTCCATGTAAGCGTGTCCTTAAGATGCGTTTATCCCCCTTGAGACCTTGACCACAGTCAAGAAGTCTCTAACCTCCCTTTCGAGGGGAACTACGATTACTCTGATTCCATTCCCGTAAGGATACGTAGGCACAAGATGCGATGTCTTGCCGAGTAAACTTAGAATTAACCCCCTAGGTCTCTTTTCTCACTTTTAATCCTTTGTACATATACCTTAAGCAAATAAATAAAGCAAATAGTAAACATTTGAACAAAAGGTTCCTGTAGAGTACTACAGAAGTTTAGGGTGCTAATACCTTCCCTAAATTTAATCAACCCCCGAACCCTAGATCTTTCCCCGCATTGTGTTTACGATGCAAAAATAGGTTTTCCCTCTTTTGACCTTTTCCTTCGGATAAATCAAAGAGCGGTTGTGAATTGAATTGCGATTCAAACTCATTAATAGTTTGTGATCCTATTTCCACCGCAACATCATGGCTCAAAAAAATTTATAGAGACTTGAGATTAACTCCAGAGTCTCCTGAAATATTAAAAATTAGAAAAACTCGAATTTATATTATGTTATTAATAGGGTTATTTTTATGTCCGGATACAAGTGGAAACACTGTTCACTCTATGTACTTACCTTTATTAGAAGATGTAAATAAAATAAAAACATATAGTTGGGGGTCCGCAACACTAGCGCACCTATATCGGTCTTTATGTAACAACTCAATAGCAAATCCAGGAAACTGGACCGGATGTGGTGTTCTTCTTCAAGCATGGGGTTGGTCAAGAATGACCAATCTAGCACCTATCCAACAAAATAATGTTGAATTTCCATTCGCTAAAAGGTAATTATTTTTCCCATTTCTCACTTATCTATCATAGTATTTCAATTAATTAATCATATTATTAATAAATGTTTTCTTTTCGATTTGTAGGTGGTCTTCGCTTGGAATGAATTATGACAACTGTTCACACTACAGTATCACGCAGTACAGAAATCTTATTGATCACTTGGGTCAAGATGATGTATACTCACAAACCTTACTATTTATGTTATTCTCTACTTTAATATTATTAGAAAATACTTAATATTAATTTTTTCCTCCTACAGTTCATTTGGCGGCCGTATCTTGGTCTAAAAGCCTTTCATGAAGTTGAACGATAAGACTCTGCGGTGTGGAGTGCAAGGTGCCGATTATCAACTTCACCACCGTGGAAATGCACAACAGTGATCGTGTGAAACTTTAATTTGGAATGCTTCAAGATATTCCATGTCCACCAAAGTGCATCCCCGACAAATATCACACCGGTAAAGTCTCCGACCAATGGGAATATAATCCGTGGACCAAGTATGCAAAACACGAGTTTCGTGAATGGAGGCATCACAACAACTATGTTTTGTCCGACACTGTGTTTCCATACGAGATGAAACAATCAATACAATACATGACTTGGTATAGGTCTGTATCAATTGGTTTCATTTCACATCCAAGGTATCTAGTTGACCCACGCCAACAAGAATCATCATCAAGGCCCCAACAACCAACCCAACCCTATTTCCAACCGCCAACCCAACCTCATTGCCAACCATCAACCCAATACCATTTCCAACCGCCAACCCAACCTCATTGCCAACCATCAACCCAATACTATTTCCAACCGCCAACCTAACCCCATTTCCAACCATCAACCCAACCCCATTTCCAACCACCATCCCAACCCCATTTTCAACCGCCAACCCAACCCTATTTTCAACCCCCACTCACACAATCACAACAATATGAACATACCCTAACCAATTCACTCCATTCACACAAACTCATTCACAATCCACACAATACCACACATACTCCATGGATACTACAAACCAAATAAACACCCAGTTTCAAACACCCAATCAACCGATACTCACCCAATCATTTACACTCATCCCACCCTACGATCAGGCAGGCTATCGTCCTGACATTGCCTCGTCTAGCCAACCACCCCAAAATAACTATGAAGGCATGGGCAACTCTTTTGATTTGGATGACTTTACGGATATGGACCCGTCTTCATGGGCCGAAGTGATTCAATTGCTTGAAGACGACACAATGGACCCGACTCCACAACAAAGACCACAACGAAACGTACGTGATCGGGGATGCGGTACGGGCGGACATTTAAACCGACCACGGCGTAGAAACTAGTTTACAATATCTTTCATATTTGTGATTCAATAATTATTGTAATTATTATTTAATATTAAATTTATTAAATACAATTTGATTTTTTTTATTATTTAAAATTTTTTAATGCTATTATAAATTATTATTTATTTATTATTTGTAAAATAAATAAAAATTATTCAGAAATTATTATTATATAATTATTTTTTTTAAAATATTTTTTATTTATTAAATATTTTTAAACTAATTATACATTTAAAATTATAAAAAAAAAATCAAATTTAAGGGAGGAGTCAAAGGGGATGGCGCCCCCTTTATAATTTATAGGGTGCCTCCATCCTGGATGCCGCCCCCATATAAATTATAAGGGAGGAGCCATACCCCATGGCGCCCCCTTGTAAAAAAAAAACGAAACTTGGGTAGATTAGAGAATATGAGGGAAAGTTGGGTAGTTTGGATATTAAAGGGGGGAATGTTGGTTATTTGGGTGAAATTTTCGTAAAAAGAATGGTATAGGATGTCAAAGTTAGTTTTTTAATTTATAAAAAGTAAATTTAGAAAAAAAACTCATTTTTGAAAAACCATTTTTAATATATAAAAAGAATCTACTTTTTAAAATTAAAACAAGCCATTTATTTCTTAATGATAAAAACAAGCTGAGTTATACTCGAGTGGACTTCAAACTTGGAAGTTGGAACTAGTATGGCTTTCTCCTATCTTAGCACTAGCAGGGTTAAAAAAGGAAAATAAATAAAAAAATCATCATCGTTTCGTTTAACTGCAAAACCGCCACAGAACAACATCCAAACTCCAACAACAAACAATGCCATGTTCACTCCCTCTCTCTCATCTTTCTCTCTCCTCCCTCTCAAAAACCCCACTCACCTCTTCCCCCTCCCCTCAAAAACCTTATCCACTTCACCACCGTCTCTCTGTCAAATCCTCCATCAACAAACCCCCAGAAACCACCACCAAAACCAGTTCATGGGTGAGTCCTGATTGGCTCACTTCACTCTCCAAGTCTCTAACCACAGCAAAAGATGATTCTGGTATTCCTATAGCAAGTGCTAAGCTTGATGATGTTTCTGATCTTTTGGGTGGTGCCCTTTTTCTTCCTTTGTTTAAGTGGATGAATGAGTATGGTCCTGTTTATCGTTTGGCTGCTGGTCCCAGGAATTTTGTTGTTGTTAGTGATCCTGCTATTGCGAAACATGTGCTTAAGAATTATGGGAAATATGGTAAAGGTCTTGTTGCTGAGGTGTCTGAATTTCTTTTTGGGTCTGGTTTTGCTATTGCTGAAGGGCCTCTCTGGACGGTATTCTTCAATTCTTTTAACATTGTTTCAATTCCTATTTTGCTTCATATTTTTTATGAGATTGTTGTGTCACGAAGCTAAGGACTCTTACAAGGACACTGAGATACGGCACAACAGACACTCTGACACAGATACTAAGACACAGTGACATGACACATACACTCTGGCACGACATAGACACTATGACATGGACACTGGATTTTTTATGAGATTGTCGTACTAGTGTCATTAGTGTCGGACACCGTGACACACCTACTCTTAAAGGTGTCCTGTGTTTTGAGAATGATAAAATGAAGTTTTTGTAGCAATGTGGGATGTTTCGGTTGTGCTGTGCTATAGAGTTTTATGTGTTAGCAATTCTTTCTTGAAGTCAATTGCTTTATCAATGTTCTCAATTTGTTGTTTCTTATACATTAAATATGGAGGAGATCATGCTGGGAGTAGTTTTGATTAGAGGCCTATAGATTCTATAGTAAGGAGATTAAGATCAGATGGAGAGGATGGAGAGGAGTGAAACAAGTAGATAGAGAGGAAGACCTAGAAAAATGATAGCTCTGGATTTGGTTTTGGGGGGTTGTGACTATATTCTTTTTGATATTTAAAAAAAGTTTAAAAAACAAAATGATTTTATATGCTAATTATATTGTTTTTCAAACTTTTTAAAAATATCAAACACAGATGCAACCTTTCAAAGTCTTTTCCTCCAAAACTCTCCAAAAATCAACTCAGACAAATCTTAAGAAACTTTTTTAAGATATCGAGATTAATAATTTGGATAGAAGTATGGTCTTGGATAGAACATTATGTCGTCAATCCAAGTAGCCGACTCCACTTAGTGGGATAAGACTTGGTTGTTGTTGTTAATAAAGACCTATCTGGATTGACTTATTTGAGTTTAGCTACTAACATAAGCACTTCTGAATGTATGAGAGAGCTTAGAAAAACAGTTTATGACATATCTATAAGTTGTTTTGAGCTCCTCAGGGTAGCTTATGAAAACAATTTGAATTTATTTTAACTCTTCCAATAGAAATAGCTTATTCGTAAACACTTATATGATATGCATTTGTGCTATAAGCACTTAATTGAGTTGTTTATCCAAACATGGTCTAACTCAATGTACATATTAATCTTCATCATTTTAAAAGTTGGATGTTATGATATCATCTCAATGACCATGCGCACAAACGATTAGGAAAAATTGCAGTGATGTAATCTTATTATAGCTATTAATTTATATTTTAAAAGAATACATTATATGTTAAATTTAAGATACTTGATGAAGTATCATTTAGTTTCAAAATTTATAAAATTTTGTGGACTTGACCTACACAATAAGAAATTTAATTCTGGTTGGATCGATGAAACTTTATGTATAGAATGAGTTGTTGAATGGAGGAATTAAGCCTCATAATACTTGAATTGGTACTTATAGTTGAATTGGTTCTCTTGGGTTATCAAAATCAATTACTGATACTAGTTGTGCTTCAAGTAATGGTTTTATACGTTATTTTGGGTAACCGGCAGTTGTTAATAGCGATTTTCTTGTATGTATTAGGCTAGGCGCAGGGCTGTCGTTCCATCACTTCACAAACGATACTTGTCGATTATGGTAGATAGAGTGTTTAGTAGATGTGCTGAGAGATTAGTAGAGAAGCTACAACCTGATGCAATTAACGGAACTGCTGTTAACATGGAGGACAAGTTTTCCCAGTTGACCCTTGATGTTATCGGTTTATCTGTATTCAACTACAACTTTGACGCACTGAATTCAGACAGTCCTGTTATTGAAGCTGTTTACACTTCACTGAAAGAGGCGGAGGCTCGGTCAACCGATCTTTTACCGTATTGGAAGGAAAGTTTCTTTCTCATTCCCGTTCATGACATGGAATTCAAATTTTCTTTATTTTTGTTTTTTATGTCTTTTATTTCTCGTTCTTTGTTGCTGCAGGTTGGTTTTCTTTGTAAGATAATACCAAGACAAATAAAAGCTGAAAAGGCTGTTAGTGTTATTAGAGAAACTGTAGAAGATCTTATTGCTAAATGTAAAGAGATTGTAGAATCTGAGGGTGAAAGAATCGATGCTGATGAATATGTGAATGACGCTGATCCTAGTATTCTCCGGTTTTTGCTTGCCAGCAGAGAAGAGGTATGCTGTATTTCTATTCCCAATGTATAATTTACTTTTATCGATATGTTTTGTTGGCGACTAACTGTATATTCACATCTGTTCCTTTTATCGGTTTTATACATTAGTTTCAGTTTTTTTAGTTCATTCTTCATGTGTAGGTTTCAAGTGTGCAATTAAGGGATGATCTTTTGTCAATGTTAGTAGCCGGTCACGAGACCACTGGTTCGGTGCTTACTTGGACACTTTATCTTCTAAGTAAGGTATCTAATAGAGTATAACAGAATTTAGTTTCAATCGTAATTGAATCATAAGTTCGCGCCTGTGAATCATAAGCTTTATTTATGCAGGATTCATCCTCGTTAGCGAAAGCACAAGAAGAGGTAGACAGAGTTTTACAGGGAAGACGTCCTTCCTATGAAGATATTAAAGGTCTTAAGTTCTTGACGCGCTGTATTATGGAGTCACTCCGACTTTATCCACATCCTCCTGTAGGTTACTACACAATAATTTTGAGTATGAATGGCTTGTGACACATCATTGACAAGTTTTATAGTTTTGATGGTTTTATATAACTTTTATGCATCCTAAGGTATTGATCAGAAGATCTCAAGTTCCCGATGAGCTTCCGGGTGATTACAAAATCAATGCTGGTCAAGATATTATGATTTCGGTATACAACATTCATCGTTCTTCTAAGGTTTGGGATAGGGCCGAAGAGTTTTTGCCAGAAAGATTTGATTTAGATGGTCCAGTGCCAAATGAAACAAATACAGATTTCAGGTATGCGTTTGTGTTTGTATTTGTATATGTATATGTATATCGTAGTTACTGAGGTTTAGATGAATCAAAAACATGTTACAGATTCATTCCGTTTAGTGGAGGGCCTCGAAAGTGTGTCGGTGATCAGTTTGCTTTATTGGAAGCTACTGTTGCTCTTGCGGTCTTTCTACAGCACATGAACTTTGAGCTTGTCCCTGATCAGAATATCGGCATGACTACCGGAGCAACAATACATACAACAAATGTAAGATTTATAGGATCTTATGTCAAACAAAGGAAAAGAGACATTTGTCTGGTACATTTTACTGTGATCTAATAGGATTTTGGTTTTGCAGGGCTTGTATATGAAACTGAGCCAACGGTCGAAATAGATGACATTCACTTCATCTTCATATAAGCTATAAAATTTATATTGTCTATATCTATCAGCAATATGAAATTGTTATGATGATTTTTCTCATTTCTGCTATTTCATATACCACAGGTTATGCAGTAAATATGTATTTGATAGCAAATATTTCCAACATTTTAATCATTTATTCATATTCTCTAAATGTTGTAAATTTGGGATATTGCTGAACACAGGTCAACCACGCACAAGTGTCTCACCCTAGTGCGTAGTAAATCAAATTTTCACTAACTTTTGATATTGATCTTTGTCAACTTTGACACTTTTCTCCTCATAGTTTATTTTATGGCTTTGTTCAATAGCAACACTAGTACGCTTGCATTCAAGTTTTTCCGTTTCCTGCAAAAGATTAAGCATATAATTTCTCGGAGATAAAAATGTCATTTTCTAATGGACTACCTCAATTCTCAAAGTACTTGAGGCCTTTTATTTTAAGTAGTTGTAGCTCATTCAAATCATCTTTTGTAACAATAATATTGTAAATAGTTCACTTTTCTCTGTGTATGTTTAAAAAACGAAGTATGATTTCCCTCCCTACAGAACAGAGACAGTCTCAGGCCACAACTTGCAATCAGAGCATACACTCACTTGAATTTAGCATCCAAAGATCCAGAAGATATCTAAATCCGAGCCTTCTACTCTTTAACCAAGACCAAGACACCGATTTAATATTGTCAATCATCCTCTCAGTATTCAAATCCTTATTCTTGAAAATCATATCATTTAGATATTTCCACACAATTCAAATACACGCGAACCATATCACTTTGATCGAATCAACTTTCCTTTTATCACAATCTATTAAGTGACTAAATTGTTTGAAGTTTTCCAACCCAAAATTATGTAAAGTCGTCGACACATTCAACCATTTGAGGATTGCACCCCAAATATCACTCGATTTTGGGAACTCAAAAAATAAATGAGAGCCATTCTCATCACTTCCACAACCAAATGCACAAAATCTTTATAGATCATTCAATATACCTCTTTTGGTTAGATTATCCTTAGTAGGAATTTTGTTTTGCCACATCTCCAGGTTAGTGTTGAAACCTTAAGAGGAATACTCTTATTCCATGCCTCTGCCAACCTTCTCCTTTCTTCTATCTCACTATTTATTGAAACTAGCTTGTATGCTTCTTTTACTGAATATTCTTTGTTACACCAAAGCCACTTATCTTCTATATCATCATTGCATTTTATTCTTTGAGCTTTTCCTTTAACTTCTTCTTCAAGATTCCTTTCCTCTTCGTTAAGGCTTCGTTACCACAAAATATTAAAGTCTTCCTCGTCTCAATTTCTCCTTAAGACTTCACTAATTGATGCCTCTTTGTGTACAGTCAGTCTGAGCATCTCCGGATAAACGTTCTTCATAATCTGTCCTTCCATCCAAAGATCGCTCCAAAATCCAGATGTAGTTCTGTTTCCTATTTTCTTACACAACTTTTTGGAAAACCAATGCATTTTGCATTCCCCAACATCGTTTTCTATCTTATTTAAATCCTGCCACCAGCTCGAACCAACCTTTTTCCCTATATTCCGGCTACTGTTTATTTCACCATATTTACTCACTAATACCCTAGACCATAGACAATGATTTTTAGTATAAAGCCTCCAAATCCACTTACCTAGTAATGCATTGTTGAAAGCTCTTAAATTTTTTAAACCTAGTCCTCCCTCCTCTCTCTCCCTACACACCATGTTCCGGTGCACCCAGCTAACTTTTCTATTCTCCACTCCCCCGCCCCACAAAAACGTTTTAAATATAGATTCAGTAATATAGATAATATCTGACGGTGCCTTGAAGAAGGAAGGGAAGTAGATAGGTAACGCATAGAGAATCAATTTTAGGAGCACAATACGACCACCAATAGATAAATGTTTATTGTTTCATTTAGACAATCTCTTTGACACTGCCTCTATCACCGGTTTCCAAAATTCCTTTCTTCTATGATTACCTTCAATAGGGATACCAAGGTATTTAAACGACAAAGACTTGACTTTACAATTTAAAACTTGTGCCGCTTCTTCCAACCAGATATGCGAAACATTTACCCCAACCAATATACTTTTGTGAAACCCAGATATCATTTTTCCAACTGTAAATTTGCCTTGATGCTTCTCACATTTTTCCAACACTTCTTTCTCACTATTAGCGTATCATCTGCGTTTTGAAGGTGTGACACAGTTACCTCTCCATTTCCAAATTCATACCCTTTGAAACTATTCAATTGAGCATTTTTTGGCATCATTATATTAAACCTTTTTGCAACTATCAAAAAGAGAAAGGGTGATAAAGGGTTGCCTTGCCTCAAGCCTCTACTTACTTCAAATTTTGTAGTGGGGGTGCCATTCACTAGAACAAAAATCCTAGTATTTCCAAGTATTTCTTGCTTTATCTCCAAGTGAAAGGCGTACTCTGGTTACCTCTTGCTTTATCTCCCACACTCCAGTCAACTTTGCGCCATTTGATTCGATATACTTAATTTCATTGATTCTTCTTCTGTTCATCATACATATGTGAAAGAATTTCGTATTTGCATCTCCTTCTTTGATCCATTTCATACGCGACTTTTGCCAAGCTATGCTACACTCCAAATTTGATATTGTAGATAATTGAACCGCTGCTTCTCTTTTAGATTTCATCTCTTCTTTAGACAACATTACTAAGCCACGCATTGCTTCCAAATCATTGATAATTTTCTTCGTGTCTTTGATCCTTGCATCCAGATTTGCTACATGTTTTTGCTCCAATCTCTAAGTTGATTTTTCATCTTCTTGAGTTTTTCTTTCAGAACATATACACTCCACCCTCGAACTTCACATGAATTCCATTTTTCTGTCACGAATTCATGGTATCCTTCCAATTTGCTCCAACCGTTAAGAACCCGAAAAGGTTTTGGTCCCCAGTTATTGACTTCATCGCGCATTATAATCGGACAGTGGTTTGACAATCCTTTGTTCAGGCACCATTACGAACACTCTGGCCAATGCGATAGCCATCCCTCTAAGACTAAAAATCTGTCAATACGACTCATCTTCGAACCTTCCGACTTGATTGAGTTGAAGTCTCCCAACACACACCATGTATCACTTGGCTTAGATTTTACTAGATCAATCAGATTTTTCCACAACACTCTTTTTCCAGTGGCCTCGGGTGCGTTAACATTAACTATATTCACAATAATCCTTTCACTTCCCCATTGACCTATTACACATATAAAATGATCACCTACAATCTCATTTATCTTATTAAACACCTTTGGATTTGAAAACATCAACAACCCACCTGATCTATCATTTCCAGCTTTTAAAGAGAAATCAACTTCAATTATATTTCATATATCTGCACATACATTCTTATTCAAGTTCTCCATTTTAGATTCTTGGATACATAACATATCCAGATTATATCTTTTGACTAACTGAGTAGCTTCTTTCTTTTTTGATACCCCTTCCTTGATTTTCTCCTTAATTTTCTTTTCTCATTCAAGATGGATTTTCTCCTTCTTCTCTGTTGTTGTTTTGATTGTGTATCCATTCCGGTTTCGACTACGGTAAACTTCGATTTACATTGAAGTCATTGTTCTTTCCTCCTATTTACATCCCATATTTTCTTTGATTGATTTTGGTCTGTTAGAAACTATTATGTGTTTATTATCTGTTAGTGTAATTATAAGGTCGGGTTGATTGAAAGTTATAATTATGGTTTTTAAAAATTCCAATGATGCTGTTAGTTGTGCCTTAAAGATCGTAGTATTCATATATTGTGTTCCGGTTATACAGTGTTGATAGCTCTTAGTTTTTTATTCTAAAATGTGATGTTGGGTTATGATGTTTGTTTAGCTGTTGAAGTTCAATCTCAGTTTGTGTTGATTGGTTTGAACTTTGAGTTGATGTGTAATAATATGAAGTTGTGTTGCTAGTAATTTGCATTGCATTTGAAAAGAAGACGAACAGTACATGTTGTTTTAGAAAAATCTTCTTCTCCCTGATACGTATGAAAGGAAGTTTGAATTGGTTGGAAAAGTCAACATTTCCTAGTTTATATTCTTTTTACTTCTTTTTTTTTTTTGAATTTTTTTTTGTTTATTTTATATGTTTTTTTATTTAGTAGTGTTAATTAATCATGTTAAGATTTTTGTTGGGCCAAATTATTACTTTGTCTATAAGCCCATTGATTTGTATATGTTGTTTTTGCTAGCATGTATGTTGAAATTGGAAATCGTCGTCATTTTGTTTTAATGTGAATCTTGTAAATATGTAAATCGGATTCTTAATATGTGGTTTTGACAATTTTATACGGTTGTGCCACCAAAAATTATTACACATTAATTGGAAAATTTTGCCGCATTATAATTTAAATGTATGACACTTCGATTATGTGGTCGTTATGTATAAACCGACTTTGAGCATATTGTGACTTACTCGTTTCGATTCATTTTTATACTTACTTTTGTTTATCATTTTTTTCTAAGAAAATCAAATTAATGAAATAATTTTTGAATATGGTTCAATCATTTTTAGTTAACTTGATTATTTGACTTAATCGGATAATTTTGATAATTAATTTTAATTAGCATAATTAATTAATCATTTAACTTTTTTAATCAATCTTAATTAATTTAGTTATATGATTATATTAACTTTTAAATCAAATAATTTTGATAATTGATTTGGATTAATCTAATTAAGTGATTTAATAAACTTTGACCATTTTGACTTTGCTAAATAAAATTAGGCCAAGTTCGAGGGACTCCAAAACTCAAATCACCTCCTATTTATACACACTTTCTTATTAACTGTTTTATTGCATCCTCGTTCGACAAAATGTACCCCAATTCCTATGAAGTGTAATAACTTTATCGCTTTCATATTGATTGTACTTTATTCAATTGTTAATCACTTCAAGCATCACCTAATTCATTTTCAAAATAATTCTCGATTCATATCGATCCATCTTTT